CCCCCCCATTTTTTCTGGCGCGTGTGACCGCAGCCTAAACTATCTTTTCCAGGAGTCTGAAACTGAAACCTCCTGTGGTAAATCTTTTCAATTATGTCATGTATCCTAATGATAACTTCGGCCATTATGGCTAAGTTCCTACTGTCTGTGTGACGGAAGTGAGCAGTTCACAGGAGAGAGGGCTCAGAGCCCCATATATAGGGAAGAACAAGAGGAATAACAGCACACGATGCTTTGGGCTCACCATTAGCTGAACAGTACGTAAATGGCAATATAAGGAAATGGGCTCTGATGTAGATGGCCCAGGCTAGCCCGGTCTCATTAGATATTGGAAGCTAAGCAGGATCTTGGTTAGTGTGTGGATCGAAGACCACCAAGGAAATCCAGGGTCGCTACACAGAGACAGCCAATGGCAAACCATCTCTGAAATGTTTCTTGTATTGAAAATCCTATAGGGGTCATCATAAATTGAGTGTAACTTGATGGCACTTTCCACCACCATAAGGAAATGGTCATTTGAGTCACCACAGGGTGATACAGAAGTTAAAAAACCCTTGCCAGAGAGATTCTCACCAGCAACAATACAAATTGGGTGATATCAGAATTAGAACCCAAGTGTATCACTACACAGAGCAAATCAGTTGCAGTAGGCCATCACTAACTACCCATATGTGTGCTCTGTGGTCTGAAAACGTGATAACAGAGCTATGTAGGCCCCATGCTATACTGGATGAGAGTGTCTGTTGACCGGTAATTACATCTCCCTACTGGTATTGCACTCTCATTGGCTGCAAGGTTGATCAGAATCCTATCCTCTGTTGTGATTGTGGGCTGAAAATGGAGAAGGTAGGGAGATACTTTTCAGGAGCTCTCCATTGACTTCAAAGGGAATGTTTTAACTTTCACCACCTCTTTTGCAGATATGAAGTTATAGCATCATGGGGATTATGAATGAAGGATGAGTGAGCATAGAATTCTTCCTAAATGTGGCTGTTCCTGTACCCCCAACACCCACACATGCACTGCATGCTTTTGCCCCTTTGTGCTGGTGGCGGTCTATTGGTGACAAGATTCCACTGGTGATAGCATACTACCAGCTCAAAGGAGCTGCTATGTTGCCTCAGTGACACGCACTTGAATGTGAGGTGCCGCAGGGCGCAAATCTCTCCCCTATGCTATTCAATAACTATATGTGCCCCCTTGCCCAGATTATTTGGAGATATGGGCTGGGCTGTCACCAGTACGCTGATGACACCCAGCTCTACCTGCTAATGGATGGCCGCCTGGACTCTGCCCCCAAACATCTGGACAGGGTGTTACAGGCTGTGGCTGGATGGTTACAGCAGAGCAGACTGAAGTTGAGTCCATCGAAGATGGAGGTCCTGCACCTGGGCCATAAGGGGCCGGGGTTGGGCATCAGGTTCCCAGCCTTTGGTGGGGCCCAGTTGGTGCTGGCACCAAAGGTAAAGAGCCTGGGAGTGTTCCTGGGTGCTTTATTGTCTATGGAGGCTCAGGTCACTGCCACAGCCAGATCAGCCTTTTTCCATCTGAGGTGGGTCAGGCGGCCCCATATCTTGCCCCTTGTGGCCTGGCTGCAGTGATCCATGCAATGGTCACTTCCAGGCTAGATTATTGTAATTCTCTCTATGTGTGGCTGCCCTTGACTGTACTCCAGAAATAGCAGCTGATGCAGAACACAGCGGCACAGGTACTGATGTCACTGGCTGCCTATTGAATACTGGATCCATTTCAAGGTGCTGGCTCTTACCTTTAAAGCCCTATATGGCCAGGGGCCTGCATATCTTCGAGACTGCCTCTCCCCATATGAACCCTGGAGGGCACTGTGCTCTTCAAATCAACATCTGCTGATGGTCTCTAGCCCTAGGGATATCTGACTTGCCTCAACCAGGGCCAGGGCTTTTTTGGCCCTGCCCCCTGCCTGGTGGAATGAGCGCCCATCAGAAATTAGGGCCCTGTGAGAGCTTTTACAGTTCCATAGGGTCCTGCAAGACAGAGCTCTTCTGCCAGGTTTTCAGTTGAGGCAGCAGGTATCCTATTCCATCTGGCCTCCCCCCTCCTTCCCCCTATGAGTTATGTGTCTGTTAGAGTATAATTTATTTTAAAGTATTAGTGTTTTATTATTTTTATTGTATGCATTTTGTTATTCTGTTTTTATGATGTAAATATGCACTCAGCAGATTATTATAGGAACTCACCCTGAGCCTGTTTTGCGGGGAGGGCAGTATATAAATGGAAGGAAATAAGTAGATAAATACTCTTACCCTGAAATTCAGAACTGATCTCACCTCACCTAGCAGGTGTATGTTGAAGACAGGACTGCAGATCACTAATTACATTTTTAGCCTGCTCTTCTAGGAAAGAAACAATTAGAAAAATAGATATATAATTTGCTAAAAACAATAATAATTGTTATAAAAAGTGACAAGCAAAACATAATCCTTCAGTGCTAAATAGTAAATAAAATGTTGCCTGGTGAAACTTTCTTTTTGATAGTGCTGTTCTAGATGGAAAGATAATCTCCTTGGATGAACATGTGCATAATAAAGCTGAACATAGAACCCATAAGATGGAGGCATCTTTTCCAGTAACAATGTGCCTCCATTTGTTTTATCCTTGAGGATTTAAAAATATTGGCTGGGATCCAAAGATCTACTTAAACCCATGCAAGGGTCTTGCAGAAGTCCAGAGAACATTTAATTTTCCCTGTTTTGAACAGCTGACTTCCATACCACACCACAGACTATTTCTGAAATCACTTTTGAGAATTAATGTCACAATTCTTTGGATCTTGGCCATTGTTAATGACTTTACATCTCATCACAGACTTTAACATTATATATTGTAGTTATAAATTATTGTCTATAATATTAATGACCAATTTAGAGGTAATGTTTGAATTTATCAGAAGCTATTTACTCCCATCAGGCTATTAAATATCAAACTGGCTGTTCCATATCACTGAAATCTATTGACTCCCATCAGGCTACGAAGTATTAAACTGGCTGTCCCATACTAGTAACTGGGGTGGATTATTGGAAAGATAACTCATATATGACTTTGATAGTCATGAATCAGTGCTTTTATCAGTGAAATAAACTGCCGTATTATATATCTGACCTGCATTCTAGAATTCTAGGTAATTGATGCTGCCAATGAGTAATTTATGAGGCAATAACTACCTCATGTAAAATCTTGCAAGTCATTTGTCCAGCAGTGTATTTAATGTCAGATTTACTCAGTAGCTAATATGATAAATGAACACCTAAGTCTTCAAGAGGATTCAGAGGGCTTCTAGCATTTTGAATGATTTAGTTAAAACACGAACTACTTAGCTATCAAAAATATGTGCTATCTATGCAGCTTAAATGAATCCATAAACCATAGTCTAGTAACTAGTTGCATTATAAATGACTCAGTCACCCCACTGATGGCTAAAGAAATGACATTCAATGAATATTAAAAGTGATATGACACAGAAGATTGTTGAGCATCAGGCTTAATTTACTGCTATAGAAAAAGCTGAGCTTCTGTGCAAGTGCATGAGTAATCCTGACTTACAAAACATACAATAACAGCCGGTGACTTGTGAAGCTGGTGGAGCTTCAGTGTTTGAGCACATGCCCCAGTCACCATACCCAGCTTCCAACAGTGACAATAAATCAATATGAGTCCCAATGGAAGTCCTGTCTATGTAATCATTCTTTGGGTTAAATGACCTCAAGGCCATGATATGAACAAACCAGGCACCAGTGCATTAAGGGTGGCCAACGCCCATTTTCTCCCATTTGTATTTTTATGTCACAGTGTGCAGCTTGTAATTGTGTATGCACATTTTTCATAAGTAAAGCACTGGACACATTGAAGGCATTGCATAAATAAAATGATGATGATACAGGATGCATAACTTGTGTGTTCTTGGATGTCACCTGCTGTCCATTTAAAACTGATAGTATGGCTAAAATTCCATGAAAGAGCAATTGATAGTGCCAACAGAACTGTAACAGTGAATCCAGGTGAACACCTAAATGAAGCAATCCAGACTTATGAAGCAATCACTAACAGAAAAGTATTTCCTGACTTTCCATCCTTCCTTCCCCCATGTATGTGGTTTGTCCTTGAGATCTGTACGGGAAATATCATAAATTCAATGTAGTTGGTTGAGCCAGCTGTGGCCCATCCTGGGTGCGACAGATCTTGCCATTGTGGTGCATTCCCTGGTAACATCTAGATTAGGTTATTGCAATGAGCTCTACATGGGGCTGCCCTTGAAGACTGTACATAGTTTTCAGTTGGTACAGAATGCTGTGGCCAGAATGTTGACTGGAGTAGGTCACTGGGACCATATCACTCCAGTATTGTTCCATCGATACGGACTCCCAGTTTGCATCTGAGTCCAGTGCAAGGAGCTCGTATTGACTTTTAAAGACCTGTATGGCTTGGGGCCAGTCTGTCTTAAGGACCACCTTGTTGTTGTTCAGTCACACAGTCGAGTCCGACTCTTCGCGACCCCATGCGAAGAACCACCTACTCTCATATAAACCTACCCATCTGCTCTGGTCATCTTTGAATGCCCTGCTTCAGGTGCCCCCACCATCTGAAGCGAGATGAGTGTCAAACTGAGAAAGGGCTTTCTTGATTGGGATTCTAAAACTTCCTTCCCCAGGTAAACCTATCTGTCTCCCTCTATTGTTATCTTCCACCAGTGGGTGAAGACTTCTTTATTTGGCATTCCCCCCCCCACTAACTGTTGTTGGCACTCTTTGTATTGTTACATGAGTTTGAGAGTTTGTGTTTTATTGAATTGTTTAAATATTTTATATGCACTTTATTTTAAATGCTGTTTTAAAGTTGAAATGCTTTAATGTTGAAACATTCATCGTTTTGGAGACCCTATTTGGGTAGAAAGGAGGCACAGAAATGTTTTAAATAAACAACTAAGATATCTTGATGTTTCAGTAGTTTTCATTTGCCATTTCCAGGTCCAACTGATCTCAGTATGAAAAGGCAGTTAGCAACGACTTCTGGATCTTCCAGTAGTACCAGCTCCAGACCTCAGCTGAGCCCAACAGAAATCAATGCAGTACGGCAACTAGTGGCAGGATACCGAGAATCAGCTGCATTTTTACTGCGTTCTGCAGATGAACTAGAAAACCTTATTTTGCAGCAGAACTGAGACACATGGCCATCCTGCTGACCTAGGTTTATCACAGAATTTCCACTAATGGCATTTTGAATTCCCAAAGCAGATCTTTCAAACACTACACAGTCCTGTTGATGACTTAATTACCATAATGCCACATTTTTCTTGATGTTCTTGGTGTGCTAAGGTTCTTCAAGTGAACTGGGATCTCTAATATTTCTGAAATACTTAGATATATCCAGCCTATTGCTTTATGTTTGTTTTCGTGTGTCAGCATCAATAGCAAAAAGTGGCTAGAAATATTAACTTTTTCTAACATGGATGAAAACAGAAGATACTGGGGGTTCAAAATTGGTCCAAAATCCAAGTGCAATATTAGTGGAATGTGCTATTGACTCAGTGGACTCAAAGCTGCATTATATGGCAAAAAGTTGCCAAATGCCCTGTTGTTAACAGGATGCAATTGCAATGAAAAGGATCTTGTATTTTAAAGAAAATGTAATTTTATAGGGAAAACAAGACAAAATGTTGTTCCTCATTCTAAATTGATCATTTTTACTTTGGTAAATTTGTCACTGATTTTTCAAATAGTGTTCTGAGGAGTTATTGATAGTCTTCTTCTCTGAAACTCTATCCCCTTCACCCATCCACATCCGCTCTACAGCAAGTACCTTTTTTGTGCTGAGCAGCCCATTCCCTGGTGGATCCCTACATAAATATCACTGGAATGCTGTCCAAAGGAAGTAGACATTTCCTGAATTCACACCACTCTCACCTCCATTTCATAACAAGTTGCAGCTTTATTATCAACTAATTAGGATGTGAGGGTTATTTTTAAAAGACATATCATTAATTTTTTTTTTTAAAGGATCTCTTACAAGCTAGCTCATTTAACTCCAGGATTGCTGCTGCTGTCTTGTACAAGTCCTTCTGGTAGTGAATGGATGTAGATGATTGAATGTGAAGAGGTTGCAAGTGACAATCGGAAAATTTGCACTCCTGTGTGTATTTATTGTTTTTCTTTTAAATTAATATGTAACTGAAAAGGGCCATTAACACTTCTGGTGTGATTTTTATAATGTTAATGCTGATCTAAAAAACTGTACAAAAATGTAAAGGATACAGCTGCCACTTAAACAAGGCTCTCAACCCCGGATGTTGCCCCACCCTGTTTGTTATTTTAAGATGTCAAATAAACATTGATGGCGTTTTTGTTGTGCGCTAAAGAAAGCTTATTTTTATGTATTTATAGAAAAGTATTTTAGTTTATGCTTATTGTAATACCTGTTCTGTTGTTTAGCTTTTGTTAAATAACAAGTTCCTTGTGCATTCCTGAATTTGCCTTATTTTGTGTACAATTTTTTATGTAATTTGGTTTTTTGATGATGAGTTTAAGGCATCGATGATATTTTCTATCTACTTGTTACATATAGTTTTTCAAGTAATGACCGTGATTGTGACAAAGTAATGTGCACTTTTTCTTGTAACTGTGGACATTGCTATGCTTTTTTTCCCTTTAGTGTTTCTAGAATTACTGTTGCTTACAATTATGTTTAAAAAGACAACTTTTGTGATACTGTTGGTGAATATCAATGTTTTAAAAGCCTATTGAAATGAGTGTTTTGGAGGTACTTAATTACACAAACCTTTCTTTTTTGTGAACTTAAATGTTCACAAATTTAAATAAAATTTTAAAAAATGAGGGCTGGAAAAAAATCCTCTGTTTTGTTTGGGTAAATAAACATCTGTGTTTCAATACAGGCCTGTGAAACAATATTTTAGCATATGCAAAGGGCATTCTTTTTATAACACTGATCACATTTAAATAGGAAAATTCAGCTTAAAATCCAACTTGTACCTAATGCTACAGATAATTTCTAAAGTAATAGCATTCTGAATGGGTAAACTATTTTTGTCTGTGTGTGTCAAGTGCCATGAAGTCCCAGCTGACTCATGGTGACCCCAGCAAGGGGCTTTCAAGGCCGGTGAGAAGCAGAGAGGTGGTTTGCCATTGCCTTCCTCTGCAGAGTCTTCCTTGGCGGTCTCCCTTCCAAGTATCAACTCTGCTTAGCTTCCAAGCTCTGATGAGATTGGGCTATACCATGCCACCTTCCCTTCTATACTATTTAGATAGTACATGCAGTGTAAGGGCAGGGGGCTGCTCTACATAAATGTTGAGCGCCATATTGCCTAGAGTTTAGTTACGACTGAGCAACTTCATTTGTCTAGTGAAATATAGTTTTCAAAAGACTTAATTCTGTGTGATTGTCATACAGTGTTGTTCTACTTATGTAAGAGGCTGCAGACTCCTTGGGAGGGGCCCTAATCACGTTCTACAACTGGAGCACAAAATAAGCATAATGCTGGCATTAGAAATACATGACCATCATTCGTGGCATTAAGACAACCTTGGCAAGCCACTCACCATTGTAAAGGCTAGCTTGGCAGAACATAACAGAAAGGTTACAGCAGATGTGCTTTATAGGACATCAGAGAAAAATGGAGATGGCTTACCACCATATATTTGGACAAATCAAAATATCATAAGAGAATAATGGTACATGTAACAGATGGAAAGGTCAATGTATTTATATAATACAATTTTTTGACAAAAAATGACACCATGTACAATGAGGAAGTGTAGCAAAACCCATCAACTTCTATGCCTCTACAAGTTTCTATCCAGGAAATGTGTAGGCTTAGAAACTCTTTCTTGCCATGATTCGTGCGCCTTAAACAACTGTGTGATAAACAGAAATTCAGCAAGTGATGGTTTGTTTTCCACCTGTGAGGTTTCAAAGCATAAAGACCCTCCCCAGAATGGCACTCTTAGCTACGTGTTGATTTTTAGAAAGTATTTGGATGCAGACCATTTTCAGAAACCAACACAAATATTGTGTCTGGCCTGTGGTATTCAGAGGTAGCAAATGAACTTCTGTTGGCATCCTCAACAGTATCTCCATTAAACTGTTTCCTTTCTTCATTTTCATTACACATTCTGAGCAACACAGGGTGATGTTTTTGACCTACTTACAGCTGTGAAATCGAGGGTAGAATTTGTGGTAATGGAGGACAGTTTCCAACTGAGAAGCGCTGCTGCTGGCCTAACTAGCAGGAAGCTACACTGGAGTCCATTTCCTGGAGCCAATATCCACGAAGCAGAAATGACAAAGAGGTGAGTAACATGCAGGTCAGTCTCCCAGCAGATATAGCACAGAGCAAAATGTCATGGTATGCTTTGTTTATGTCACTGTTTCAGGGAATCACAGCAGCTGCCAACTAAATGGATCCAGAAGGATTATTATTGCTGTCCATTAATCCAGATTTAAGCTACAATACTAAACACAGCTATAATGGGTCCAAGCATGACATTGGTTTCTGAGATATGAAGATCTTTATGCATGATAGTTAAGTTGCTTCCTGCATACAAAAAGTTAAACAGTTCTTAGGACAATTAATAGTTGGACAACTGTTTCATAATGGTTGACTGACAGAAAAATTAGCTCATTAACTGAAGCTGAAGAGTGAAACATAATATCTGCACAATGACAGATTAGTGTGTTTCTGATTTTGCTGTAAGATCACATAAGCATTCAGAAGAGTTGAGTTTTTGTTATAATTTCTGAGAACACTTACCACAGGATGTGAATTTTCTTAATTCTGTTGTGGATACTTATTTTTATAAATGTCCAGACGGGGAACCAGGGGAAAGGCTGTCAATGGCAGCATATCTTTGCCAAGAAACAACCCAGAAGTGATGTCATGCCTCTCTTGGAATAGTTAGAAACTCTATAAAAACTTTCTGTGCTGTTTGGAAGTTTTATCAATCCTCTCTCAGAATTACGCAGAAATTCTATAGTTTTATTATAGAGATATTCCTTAGCAATAATGTCATTCCCCTCTAGGAATTGCCTGAAACTCTACAGTTTTACTATTGAGGCATGGTGTCACTTCTAGGTTTTCCAGCAAGTGATGTCATGCTGTTGTCCCAACAGCCATTTGGTGGTGGGAAACAGGAGCTGGTGGTGGGATCATCCATTCCCATCAGGGGGCTGGCATCCCTGGTGCACACAGAAATAGGGAAAAGCACAGTTAGTAGGGATGATTTCGAAGGTCTCTTCCCTGCTGTTTCAACCTCAAAATCTCTATGAGGATTTTGCTTCTCCTTTGTACAACTTGAAGATGTAATTCCTCACCGGAGTTTTTACTGTAGTGTATGATTTTTTCAGTGTTATATTTGTATTAGTAGTTCAGCATGATGTTGTACATATATGTGTAAATATTGCCTAATTTGTAAATTAAAACCATACAATGTATATTCCATACAAGCAAATCAGCAAAACCAACAGCAAAAAAGTGGAGAATTGAAACCAATGACAAAAATAGAGAGGAATATTTTAAAAACAGGAAAAGCTACTTCAATCCATCACAAGGGCCAACCAAATGTGAGGTTCAGGAGGGACTGGGCCTCAAGCTCCAATTGGGCCTCAGATTTAGACACTTGTTAATTTTCTGCCATTTGATAAACTTGTTTTTATGAGGATTATGTGTCCTCATTTTTTTTTTGTTGTTGTGTCTAGGGACCTCAAAGCTGAAAGTAGTTAAGGCCTCTCTGGATTTTGAAGAAGGCTTGATCATCATAACTCTTGTTGAAGAGACAGAAGGACATATAAATTACTCAATAAAATATGTATATCCTACCTTTCCTTGTGGCTGAACTCTTGTTGATGAGACAGCAGGACATATAAATTACTCAATAAAATGTGTATATCCTACCTTTCCTTGTGGCTGAAGTCAGATTAAAAACCCCAAAGATCCCCCTCCCCAAGATATGCTTGCATTTAATATTCCATTAAAAGCTTAACAAATAAAATAGCCTCCAATACCTCCAAAGATTTCTACAGATAGTGCACCCCTCCAGAAGCCCAGTCCATAAAGTTGGAGAAGCAATGGAGAAGGTGTGGCCTCTGGTTGATGCTAGGTGGGCTACGTTAAGAGAGGAACTGCCAGTAGCTGCTAGCCTGAGGCATACA